ACTGACGTTTTCATCGTTCCTCAGGAAATCTTTTTTTTTTTTTTTTAAATATAGAGGCATATTTATGGTGTTGAGATCCAAGTAATAATCCAGATCTGTTGGAAGAAAATGCTGCATCACTCACCAACAGAGCAGTACGTTGTCATTAATAGCGGCGAATGGCGGCGGCAGGCATTTAAAGAATGATTACATCAGTGTTTCATCAACATACAACTACTAAAATGACCAAACAACATGGTTGTGACAGAACACTGAGGCAGTAAGTAAATAAAGAGAACAAAAGAATGTGTAGGATGTTTTTGACTGGCAGTATTGACAGTGTGACGTTAATTCAAGTAAAGGATCTGAATTTTCCTCGCCACTCAGGCTGAGCAGCTGCCAATGCGCTGAGCCTGTCAGGGTGGATGCTGTACTGTACTGTGATGTAGATATAAAGTATAAAAACATGGAGATTGAAGGAGCTTACTGTGTCTTTAAGCTGTCGTCCTGTCCTGCTGTCTCCTCCCAGCATGCGGTCACCACATGAAAGTGGCTTTCATGCCTCCTGTGGAGGACATCGCGCCCGGCGCCACTGTTCTGTCCATTTGTCTTCTCCGTCAGCGACCACCACGGTGGCACCATCTCCGGCTCCTCTTCAACATCACACATCCGCCCTGTGGATGACCAGGCACCAGAGGTCAGAGGTCACACAGAGGCTGAGCTTCTTCTTACCTCCAGGGAATGTTTCGTTTGATGGTGGATGTTATGAGCTCAGTCTTGACATTTGAATATCCTGATTTTGACCCTGTTGTTGTGGATCCTCAGACCTTCACCAACCTGCTGCGGGTGGAGGAGGGCGGAGGTGCCTTTATGACGGAGGAGCACTCCTGGTCCAGGATCGGGACAGCAGGGAGGAGGCGTCCTGAGGGTGAAGGTCAGAGGGACAGCTCTGTCATGGGCGACTGGAGCTGCAGGGCCGAATGCTGCTGAAGGGAGACGAGTTCACCCTGCAGGACGTGAGAGGACTGAGACTCAGGTTAGGAGTGTTGTGTGTGTGTGTGTTTGTGTGTGTGTGTGTGTGTGTGTGTGTGTGTGTGTGTGTGTGTGTTTGAGTCTATCCTTGTTGGTAGTGAAAAATGATCCGTACACTGTTAATGTTGGGTCTGACTCATAAGACATCAACTACTTATCTCCTCTTTTCTTTCTCTCCTCTCTGCAGCAGAAACAGTCTGACATTAACTTTAACTGTTTTATCTGCTTCACATGTTCATAACAGTTTGTTTCATCATCGACTGAAGAGAAAATACTGAGTAGAAACTTAATGATAATTCATCCACGTATTTAAAATATATCCTTAATCTGACTTTAATAGTAATTATATTATAGATAATTTTTTTTAAATTCTAGTTATGTGATAATACATTTCACCTTGTTGAATATCGCTTTTGGATGTGGTTATAACCAAATTTACTGGCAGGTATCAGCGTTTCTTCTCATATCATATTAAGAACTTCATTCATGGTTCAGATGATGTTGCTTATAATAAACAACTCCGCCTCTTTCACATGAACGCCGCTCGTAGCCGGACAGGTAAACCCAGGGTTAACTGAGCCAGTTGATAACCTGCTTCGTAGACAGGTTATCAGGACGGTCAATGTTAGGTTCAGTTAAGCCCAGATAACTAAAAGTTATCCTGGGTATGTTGAACCTACGGTTTTAGGATAGGTTTTAGGTTTGTTATAGGTCGTGGTTCACATGTAGCTGTGAAGGCATGAAGGTGGTCTAACTATAGCTGCAATGTACAGATATTTTAGAAAGAAACGCTGTTCCTTCTTTATTTCATCAAGTTTCCTTTGGTTTTTTCTCTTTGGTTTTCAGACTCAGCTTCTAATATACAGAAACTTATCAATGAAGGTCTCAGACACGTAACACAGAGCGGTTTGGTTTGTCGGATCATTGGCTGCAGTTACAAGGAGACCAAACATGATCAAAGCTGTGTGAATATTACAGAGCACTGACACTAATGAGACGGTTCCATACCTCACTGTCCATGATTACTCAATGCAGACATTAAACTCTGACCGCACGAGACTGGTTCCTCTGTAAACTGTTAGTCTGCGCCGCCCTTTGATCGGATCTTAGTGGCAATGTGTTTACAGAGTCACCGATCCAGGAACATAAACTAAAACCTCAGGAGGAAACACATGGTCTTTACGTGTGGTGTCTGAGTGTGATTGGTCTCTGAAGAGAGTTTTGTTTTTTTTTCTTGACCTACAAATATGTTGAAACTTTTGGTCTCTGTGTTTTGGCTCTTTCATCTGACATACAGCTCCAGTTATTAACTCTGACAAACAAAAATCTGTTCCAAATGATGCTCATTAATCAGAAATAACTGTTTTTATTTTTTAAAGGGGACCTTTTATGCTCTTCTGAGTTTTTCCTCACATGTAGTGTGTTAAATAGGTTTTTGTGCATGTAATGGTCTCCACAGTCACAAGGATCACAGTTTACACCAAAGGGAGAAACTCTGTTCAGAGTAAAAACTTTTTTTTCTCCTTTGTATGAAACGCCTCGTGGGGGTCCAGACATTACTTCCTGGTCTTATTGACATCAATACTTGCCCCACACACAAGGCACAGCACATAACTACTTATAATCTCAGACTTTTCATTAGTTTTGTAGCCATGCCGAGAAGACAGCGTTCTTAATTTCCTGCAGAAATCATCTTCGTTTTTCCACGGTTCTCCACCGCTCCAGACATTATATTGTGAGCCCACACATCAAGGAGGACTGCTTCAGGAACCACGCACAGTTAGACATTTCATTTTCATTTTTTTATTTCTCTAATTCACACTTCGTTTAATTCACACTTAATCAGGCTGAGCAGGGGACTCAGGCTCACAGCCTGTCAGTCTGCATTGTTATTGTGGAACTGTGATGTTTAACTGCATTACCGCGACCTGATGATGTAAGTAAGAAGCAGCAGCAAACATATAAATGCTTAAACGTTTGTCAATATTGACATGCTGTACCTCGTTAGCTCAGATAAATTATCCATAATTTAACCGCTGAGTTCATTTTTCAGTAACTATGCGCACTAAAGTTTAATTCATTCAGATTTACTGGCATCGTAAACCAGCAGGAGGTGAAGCAGTGGAGATTCGCTACCTGTAGACTCTCTGTCTGTTCCTCCATTATTTATATTCCTTTAGTCCGGAAGTGTCCACACATAAAAAAAAATCCAAAAGATTTGTCATAAAGTATTCCAAGTTATAAATTTTGTCATCCGAAGTCTTTGCAGACTGTCCAGCGTCTTGATTCGCAGCACTCTTCATATTTCTCCCCCCTTCTGGCTGCGGGACAGTGGGTACACTTGTTTTCTGCTCCAGTCCAGCTTGTGAAGGTGGATCAGGTCTGTCATCTTCTGGTTCAGGATCGGACTCTTGCTGAACAACAAGGCAGAACCGAAGCCGCCACAGCCATTTGTTTAGACAAGACGTGCGGAACTTATCGTTGCCATGGTAGTTGCAAGCTGACCAATCAGAGCCCAGTGTGCTCAGCTTCAGAGGGAGGAGGGTGAATAGCGTACAGTATAAAATGTACAGTAAAATGAAAATAATGTCTTTTCAGAACATTAAAGCATCTAAATCTATTTTTAGTCGACACCAAGAATGAAATGATGAAAAATGGCCATAATAGGTCCTCTTTAAAACATTATCAAACGCCTTGTTTTACAGGATGATGACTCCTCGCTGCTCTGAGGGTGGAGGGCGTTGACTTGACTTGATTTAGGATTGTTATTAAAGGATTCAGGTTAATAATTGAAGTCTGTCTAAACACAGTAGTCAGGTGTGAACATGGACACTGACAAAAGATCCTGAGGAGATTAAAACCTCCTCTTTAGTTGTTTTTTTTTAAATATGGTAAATATTTTATTTTATTGTGTTCATGTTTCACTCCCTTTGGTATTGTTTTTATCTTTATCTTTATTTGTTTTATTATTACATTTTCACAATTTGTCATTAGTCTCAGATTGTTCTGTCTTGTTCTCAGCTCGTCAGTCCTTTGTGAACCTGTGTGATACAAATAAAGGTTGATTGATAGACTGACTGTGTTGCAGGTACATCCACGATGACTCTGAGACGACTGAGGATGAGGTCGGTCTGAAGGTGACGGACGGTCTGAACTCAGCTGATGTGATCCTGCCAATACAGGTGAGTTTCAGTAAAACATCAACCAGCAGAAACCAGGCGACCAGGTGAGTCTGTCTGAGAGAAAGAACTTTAAGAGCTCACATTCATGAGAAGTGAAAAAAGAGATATTTGTACTTTAGAGTGTTGAAGTCGATGAAAGGTTGAACTGACCTGCATCATGACCCTTCTCGCCTTGCTGCAGTGATGAACAGGTGCAAGTGAACACACCTGTGCAGTGACGCTGCTGTGATCAGAGACGGCAGCAACACACTTTACAGCCAGCTATTTACTTTCTCTTTAAACATGGATGACCTCACATTTAACAACACAAGCATTATTCCAGTGATTGATGCTATGAGAGGAATTCTGGCGCGGGGCCAGGGCCGTTTTAGATTTGAAAATAGATAATTATATGACTATATTCTTGTGTATTTTTTTTTAACTCTCATTGCAAGAATATGGCTACATATACATATACATATATATATATATATATATATATATATATACTGTATATATATGTTTACAGCCAAAAAGAACCCTATATTTTGTATTAATTAAGTAGACCTACCTTATTAATAAAAACCTTTGTTTACACTATGGCTCAGTGAAGTGTCAGCTCAATAATGCATGTACTTTGAAAAAGCACTGCAATGAATAAGGTATTTGTTTTGTTCTCATGTCATCGTTGCAATCTTTTGGACTAATTTGGCAGTGGTTTGACAACAGTGGGTCTATTATGCTGCATACACTGTTTAGAGACCAATGGAGGAACAAGTGTTGAAAAATTTGTGGTCATCATCTTATAGTATCTCTTATAGTATATCTTCCGTTTGTGTTTTGTTTGTGCGCGTATATTTTGTTTGTTTTGAGCGTAAAACAGTAGTCTAGTTATCAATTCACGTTCAGTCATCCTCAGCACTTCAACTCACAAGCACAAGATGTAATGTCTTTTGTTGAAGAATGAAAATGAATTTATTAAACCCTAACCCTAACCCTTCTTCCCTCCATTCTTTTTCCCGTAGCCTCGAAACACGTTTCAGGCACAGAAATGATCCTTGCTTTAAGTCCTGGTAAACATCTAAGAGTCTAAGACAAACAGAGAAGCAGATACTATAAATATCCACAAACAATTAAAAAAGTCAAGCACACTTTTTTCAAGGTACAATTTTAAAAAGATCAGTGTGTATTGACAGCAAAAACGGTCTTTCTCAGACCTTTCTCAGACCTGGACCTCACTGTGTGTGTTATCTGTGGCTCACAGAGGTTCAGTGTACAGAATACAGATGTTCTAGTCTCTGTAGTCTCTCTGTGAGCTCATTGCATCAGGAAGTGTGAATATGTGATGAGCTACGCGGACCCTCTGCCTTCCCCCCTGCTGTTTTTAGATCCTGCCGATGAATGACGAGCCCCCCCAGCTGGGTGGAGGTCTGCGGGGGGAGCTGAGCTGTGAGGAGGGGGGGCGGGTACAGGTGACGGTGGACTACCTGTCGGCCACGGACCGGGACAGCGATGACTCCAGGCTGACCTACATGCTGGCCCGGAGGCCGGGTAGAGGGGAGCTGCAGAGAGCCGGACTGACTGTGGACAAGTTCTCCCAGCAGGACCTGCTGCAGGGACACATCTACTACGCCCACACAGGTGAGGACGAGAGGCCTCCTCTCTTCTGATTGGCTCACCGACCTGTTGTTACTAGAGCTCCAGAGAGAAGCCTGAGAGAGGAGATGTAAAACTACATTGAGATGGTTTTTGGTTCTTAAAACCACAAATATATCTTCTTATGGATCAACACTTCAAATAAAACACAGGAGAAGAGGAAAATATGGAGCTTTTTAATGGCCTTAAGGATATTAACTTTTTATGTCTCAGTTTGTTATCAAACATAATGATCATAATTGATTTGAACTGTCACATTCAGTGCAACTGGTTCCTTCAGTGACTCAGTTCTGTGTGTTCAGGAGGAGAGATCGGACCTGAGCCGGTGTTCGACACAGTCACCCTCATCATTTCTGACGGTGAGGCTGGAGGGACGGAGAGCTGTTGCCATGGAGACGCCCCACCCCCTCCCGTCCCCCTCCACGGCACACTTCCTGTGTACGACCTCAACGTCACTGTCCTTCCTGTCAACAACAAAGTGCCATCCGTCAGTCTGGGTAAGACTCCTCTGTCTCAGTGATGTTGTTTGTAAAGTGTCAGGAGACTAAAGGTGGGATTGTTGTGACAGTGGATTATGCTGCAGGTGGTTAATCCATTCATCCATTTTCTGCATCTTATCCAGGTCCATGTTGACTTCATTTGATTAATTATATCATTAGGAATGATTATATACTGCTAGAGGCTATGAGGCCAAGGGGTCTGTACTGGTTTTCCATCATGTTGTTAAACGTTAGATCATATTCCACTCTTTGTGATTTTAGAAGAGTCTAAAGTCTTAAATTGAACTGCCCTCACATTTTCATTATCGCTGCTGGTTATTATATCATATTATATTAAATATTATCTGTCCTCATCAGTAACTGAGACCTGGGCTCTGACAAAAACATGAATCTTTCTTTAATTATAGCTGCAAACTTGTCACCTTTCCCACGTAAACCTTCTACTACCCACTTGAATTTGCAGCTTCATTAAAGTAAAAGATTTAAGGACCTTTTCCACCTGCGCTGCAGAAACGTCTCAATAAGAAAGAGGGATAAATACTGCAGCTTTCTCTCTGTGTGTGTGTGTGTGTGTGTGTGTGTGTGTGTGTGTGTGTGTGTGTGTTGTGTTCTTGTTGATGCCAACACCTCCTGGTTTTCGCTGCTGACAATCCTCTTAATGCAGCAGAGCAGCTCTGACCCCAACGACACGCCGTCACCTATCAGTCCAACACACACTCTGCACTGGGAGGGGTGAGGGAGGGGGCGCTGTAACACACACAAGAACATGCAACACACACACACACACACACACACTTTCTGTCTCTCCTGGGGAGGGTGATAGTTCTCGCCGGAGTCGGAGCCAAGAAGAGGGATTGGAGGAGCTCTGTGGTTATCAATGGAGACCAGTGACCACTGGGACACACACTGGGATGACTGAGAGAAAGTGTGTGTGTGTGTGTGTGTGTGTGTGTGTGTGTTTGTGTTTACACTCTGCAAGAAATCTCAGTAGTGAGTCCTTTTGTCTGCTCCAACATTTAAACGTCTTAATTTCCTTAAAAAAAAAAAACAGACTCTGGCAGAAATGAGAAATTCTTTCTTACAGGATAAAACACGTTTTCATTCTGTTTTCTTTTTTTATGATCTTATTTTACAAATATGAGACATAATTACTTGTCAGGACAGATATTGATTGAGATAAACGTCCACAGTATTTTTTAAAATCCTTTCAAAAATCTGCTGGTGTGAGAGTTTTTACAGCTCATGTTGTTGAAGTTGAATTTTTCCACTGTAAATTACTGCAAACCTGTATCAGACCCTTCCTGTTCCAGGACACAAACATGTCCGGACAGGTCTTCATTAAGTTGATCTTATTGGAAACAAGATGAAATATTCTCACAGTACTGTCTGTGTTAAGATTATAAGAATTTTTAAGTTTCAATTATAGATAGATGATGTTGGGGGAGGAGGTGGAGCAGGAGGTAGAGCAGGTCTTCCACTAATCAGAAGGTTGGTGGTTCGACGCCTGGCTCCTTCAGTCCACGTGCTGAGATGGGCAAGATACTGAACTCTAAGATGGCTGTTCCATCAGCGTATGAGTGTGTGTGTGCCACGGTAGATGCACTGTATGTGTAGATGTGTGAATGTGTGTGTGTGAATGGGTGAATGTGCTTGTAGTGTTGTTGCTTTGAGGGGTCATTTAGACTAAACAAGTTCAGTCCATTTACCATAGAAAACACATAATAAAATCAAGAGGCTCGCAGTTGTGACGAAATCTGTTCATCCACAGACTCCTGACACACACACATACACACACACACACACACACACACACACACACACACACACACAGACAGACAGACAGACTCACAATGTGAAATCAATACCATCCACATTGTTACGTCTGGTAACAATAAATAGATATATAAATAAACATGTTGCATGCATGCTAATCTACTCTGGAAAAGTCTTGCCTTCGTAATTTTATAAAAATAAAAGGTATAAAGTATCAAAATCAAAATGAACTTAAAAGTACCAAAGGTTAAAGTGCTCATCATGCAGAATAACACACATTATTGTGTTATGATTAACACTAATGTATCACTTAAATGCTGCAGCTGCTAAAGAGGAAGATAATACACTGCTGAGTATCTTCAGCTATAATAACATGTCAGATTGTATTTCTTGATAATATGAATCTGTGAAGTTATCAAATAATTGTAGAGCAGTAAAACGCACATTGTTTCCTTTTGAACTGTGGTGGAGTAGAAACTGAAGTTAAGTCCAAGTTGAACTTTCTATTTCAGTTAAATTTGTCTTAATTAAATTAGCACAAACACACTGTGAACCTGTCAGAGCTGTTGAGAAGTTTCCCGCTCATTTCTAGAAATTTCCTGAAACCAGCGACACTTCACTTAGAAGAAGTTTCGCATTTAAAACTGATGACATTTCATATTAAAGAGCAAAGTTTATGTTGTGTTCATGTCAGTCAGTTGTTTTTTATAGTGTGTGTTTGTTGTGTATGAGCAACTGTATCTGCTGTGCCCAACGTCTCATTGTTTGCACAATGCATTGTGGGTGATTTATTTGGCATTTGTGTTTATGCGTGTGTGTGCGTGTGCGTGCGTGTGTGTGTGTGTGTGTGTGTGTGTTGTTATTGTCAGTGTGTTGTCTGGGCTAACGAGGTTGGCACTGACGTGTTTAAGTGAAATCTGCCTATTGTTTGCTGGTATTGGGTGAGATTATCATTTTCCTGTGTGTGTGTGTGTGTGTGTGTGTGTGTGTGTGTGTGTGTGTGTGTGTGTGTGGGTGTGTGTGTTCCCCAGGAGAGTGTGGACAGCGGACAATGAATGTCTTTACAAAACAAAAGAGAAAAGAAGCGCATCCCTCTGTCACAATAGCCAACGTGTAGTAGCCGTCTCGCTAGCCGGATTACTGCAGCGCTACCAGCAGCACGATAACTCGCTAATCCTGCCAGCATATCTCGCCATTCATTCAACACCGGCACCGCCAAGCAGTGCAGGGTTTGGGGGGCTTGTGATGGAGGCGTCGGGGGGGTATACGTGGCGTTTCTTGGTCTAATTAATTAGCAGTGAATAAAGACGCAGAGTAAGAGCATTAGCACAGAGAAACAAGAGGAATCCGGCTTTACCTTGTCTCTTATTTTAGAGGGACGCTGGTTTATCGGTGAGATCCAGGACTGTCCATCATTAATGCTCACACACACATTCACACAATGTATATACACACATACACTGAGTATGTATACATGGGTTTTGTCAGTATGGAGGCAGGTTCAGAGGTGTTTGTGTTTGTTAATTAACAGCAGAGTGGAGGAGGATGGATTCATTAGCAGCTGAAAAGAACAGAGGGATGGACGGATGGACAGGTTGATAGATGGTTGGATTAAATAAAATGATTATATTATTATTATTGTTACTATAGCAATGGATTCTGGGTAAAGAAGTTCAAGTTGTCTTGAAACATTTTCCCCTCGCTGCCATTTGCAAACTTTCCTCATGAAGTTTTCATGTGACTGAACGACTGTGTCTTGGTTCAGGTGAGTCTCTGTTGGTGGTGGACGAGGGCTCCTCAGCCTGTTTATGTGGGGGGGTCCTGGGCGCCTCAGACCCTGACAGCCCCCCTGACCAGCTGACCTTTCACCTGGAGACTCCGCCTCTGCATGGCTTCCTGGAGAACACGCTGCCAACACCTGGCTCCGAGAAGAGCAACGCAGGAGTCCGAGTCGGTCAGTGTGTGTGTGTGTGTGTGTGTGTGTGTGTGTGTGTGTGTGTGTGTGTATGTGTGTGCATGCGTGCGTGCGTATATGCGTGCGTGTGTGTGTGTTTGTGTGTGTGTGTTAAAGATACATCTGACTTGACCCTGAACTTTTTCTTTTTCCCAGAATCCTTCAGTCTCGTCCACCTGACCTCTGGTTTCATCAACTACATCCAATCAGAGCACAAAGGGGCGGAGCCAACTGTCGACCAGTTGTCCATCTGTGTGAGTGATGGGCTGTATCGCTCCGCCCCTGTCACCCTCTACATCATCATCAATCCAACCAATGACGAGACGCCTTCTCTGCTCCTCACCAACTTCACCGTACGTATCCGCCAGGACTGCTTCAGTTTCCTGTAATCATCACTATGACCTCATGGGGGCATTGTGTAGTTACTCCTGTTCTCCTCCTGCAGGTGAAGGAGGGTGGGATCAGGGAGCTGACTCCGTCCATACTGAACGGTCTGGACCTGGACGCCCCCCCGGACCTCCTCACCTTCACAGTGGTGCAGCCACCGGCTCACGGCTGGCTGATCAACGGCATCTACGGCGCAGACATGAGTCGCTACAGAGAGATGGGAGCTGACCTCCTGCAGAGGAGCCTCCCCATCACCTCCTTCACCCTGCATGAGCTCCGACAAGGTGCGAGACAAACCAAATAACACAACATTCTGTGTGTGTAGTCGCACAGACTCTCACGGTGGAGCTGTGATGTCATCAGTGTCGACTGAAAACCAGACTGAAATATCTCAACAACAAAATACAATATGTTATAATATGTAAGTAATATGTATGATATGTTCCCCAGTGGATGAATCCAATACTTTTTGAGACGTTTCAGTCCTGACCACAGTGTTGGACTGACCGACCGACACTAACACCCACAGAGCTAGAAATAATCATAATAATAATAAACTTTATTTATACAGAACTTTTCCAAACAAAGCTACAAAGTGCTGCAGCCTGTGAAGACTGGAATGAGCCATATAAAGTCCTTCAATTAAAAATAATACAAAATAAAATAGATAGAAATATCCAACAACAGTATCAGATAAAAAACAACGAAAACAGTAACAGCAATAAAGCAGAGGACATGTTGGAAATAAAACAGGGTGTTAATATTAATTAAAAAAAACCCAGTTACCTTCAGTCCTGAACCAGGACTTGGGAGCACTCAGCAGAGCCGGCCTGAGGATCTGAGGCTCTGGTTCATGGATGAGCAGCATTTCAGCAACGTATCTGGGAATGAAACTTAAAACCAATTCCAGAACTGACCGGTGACCAGTGAAGAGAGGCTGAGGCAGGAGAGATGTGATCTTCTGAAAAGCCTGTTAATAAAGTCAAAATAGGACAAAGATTTAAAGGGTTATTACAACTTGTTTTTATCAGCTCTCAGCCTCCTTTCCCTCCCACAGTTTTTAAATCTATGTGTTAATATATATACAGCAGGTGTGTTTGTATAGTTGTACATGTCTATATATCGTTTATATTTTTTTATTTTTAGTGTGTAAACAAAGACACCATAAGAAATGTGAAGGTAAACAGAATCTCTGTTCTGCTCCTCCTCCTGCTCACTGCCAAATATCCCTGCCCTCCCTTTCACCTGCCCTCCTTCTCCCTGTCTCTTCATCCCACCCCTGTCCTCCTCCTCGTCCTCCTCCTCCTCCTCTCCGCAGGCATGAAGATCATGTACATGCACGATGACACAGAAACCCTGAAGGACTTCGTGGCTCTGCAGCTGACAGATGGCGTCCACACAGTCCAGGGGACGGCTCAGGTCACAGTGCTGCCGGTCAACGACGAGAAACCGCGACTGCTCAAGNTCTAGGGCACATTCTATAAATTGCAGTTCTATGCTGATGCACCGACGCACCAGACGTATTGACGTCGTCAACCTGACCGACCAATCATAGCGAATTACGGGCAGTGACGCACTTTCCTACCCGCCTCCTTGTTTGCGTGTGTAGCGGTAGCACATGGAGAGCGATGGCTGAAAGCCAAACGGAGTTTGGCCATATCGCCCACCCCTAGATGAGCAGCATTTCAGCAATGTATCTGGGAATGAAACTTAAAACCAATTGCAGAACTGACTGGAGACCAGTGAAGAGAGGCTGAGGCAGGAGAGATGTGATCTTCTGAAAAGCCTGTTAATAAAGTCAAAATAGGACAAAGATTTAAAGGGTTATTACAACTTGTTTTTATCAGCTCTCAGCCTCCTTTCCCTCCCACAGTTTTTAAATCTATATGTGTTAATATATATACAGCAGGTCTAAGTGTGTTTGTATAGTTGTACATGTCTATATATCGTTTATATTTCTTTATTTTTAGTGTGTAAACAAAGACACCATAAGAAATGTGAAGGTAAACAGAATCTCTGTTCTGCTCCTCCTCCTGCTCACTGCCAAATATCCCTGCCCTCCCTTTCACCTGCCCTCCTTCTCCCTGTCTCTTCATCCCACCCCTGTCCTCCTCCTCGTCCTCCTCCTCCTCCTCTCCGCAGGCATGAAGATCATGTACATGCACGATGACACAGAAACCCTGAAGGACTTCGTGGCTCTGCAGCTGACAGATGGCGTCCACACAGTCCAGGGGACGGCTCAGGTCACAGTGCTGCCGGTCAACGACGAGAAACCGCGACTGCTCAAGTACACGCACGCAAAAAATATTAAACGATTATATAGACATGTACAACTTATACAAACCACACCTGCCTGTAATACTATATTAACACATAGATTTAAAAAACTGTGGGAGGAAAGGAGGCTGAGAGCTGATAAAAACAAGTCTGTAATAACCCTTTAAATCTTTGTCCTATTTTGACTTTATTAACAGGCTTTTCAGAAGAGATCACATCTCTCCTGCCTCAGCCTCGTCTTCACTGGTTCACCGCTCAGTTCTGGATTGGTTTTAAAGGTTTTCATTCCCAGTATACGTTGCTGAGAAGCTGCCTCAATCCATGCAACCAGAAGCCTCCAGATCTACTCAGGCCGGCTCTGCTGAAGTGTCCCAACGTCCTCGCAGTTTCGAGACTGGAAGTAACTGGGTTTTTTTTTAATTAATATTAACACCTGTTTTATTTCCACCTGTCCTCTGCTTTATTTGCTGTTACGTTTTCGTTGTTTTTATCTGATACTGTTGTTGAAATTTTATTTTCATTTTATTTTGTATTATTTTTAATTGAAGGACTTGAATTATGGCTCATCCAGTCTTCACAGGCTCCCTGCAGACTTTCTAGGCTTTGTTTTGGAAAAGTTCTGTATAAATAAAGTTATTATTATTATGATTATTTCTAGCATCTGTTAAGTGGGTTGTCAGTGTCGGTTCGTCTATTCCAACACTGTGGTCAGGACTGGAAACGTTCTCGAAACAGTATTGGATTCGATCCACTGGGGAACATATCATACATATACTTACATATTATAAACATATTGTATTTTGTTGTGAGATATTCGTATCGCGCTTTCAGTGCACATCTGATGAACATCACAGCCTCTCTCTATCTCTATATCGTGTGCTGACTACCACAACAACAGAATGGTTTGTGTTATTTTGGGTGTCTCGCACCTGTCGATCTCTCTCTGCGGCTATACG